ATGTTATTTGTCTTCCTCTGTCTGAATTACTTCACTTAGCATTATACCCTGTGGGTCCATCCATGTTGTCACAAATGGCAAGATTTCATTCTGTTTTTAGGACTAATATTCCCATGAGTGTACACGTGTGCGCACGCATGTGCCTTCTAGATGTATACATCCTCTTTATCTATTCAACTATTGATGGACATTTGGGCCGCTTCCATAATTTGGCTATCATGAGTGATGCTGCAGTAAACATAAGGGTACATATGTCTTTTCAAATTAGTGTTTTCATTAACTTTGGAAAAATTTTCAGTAGTGGAATTACTGGATCATATGGTATTTCTATTTTTAATATTTTGAGGAACCTCCAAAGTGTTTTACACAGTGGTTGTACCTGTTTACATTCCTACTACGACCCATGAGACTACCCTTTTCTCTACATCCTCGCCAACACTTCATGTTTCTTGTCTTTTTAATACTAGTCATTCTGACTTGTGCAAGGTGATAATCTCATTGTGGTTTTTTTTGTTTGTTTGTTTAAAGATTTATTTATTTATTCATTCAGAGAGAGCGAGAGAGAGGCAGAGACACAGGCAGAGGGAGAAGCAGGCTCCATGCAGGAAGCCCGATGTGGGACTCGATCCCGGGTCTCCAGGATCACACCCCGGGCTGCAGGCGGCGCTAAACCTCTGCGCCACTGGGGCTGCCCATCATTGTGGTTTTGATTTGCATTTGCATTTCTCTTATGATTAATGATGTTGAGCATCTTTTCCATATGTCTATGAGCCATCTGTATTCTTTTTATTTTTTATAAATTAATTTTTATTGGTGTTCAATTTACCAACATACAGAATAACACCCAGTGCTCATCCCGTCAAGTGTCCCCCTCCGTGCCCGTCACCCATTCACCCCCACCCCCCGCCCTCCTCCCCTTCCACCACCCCTAGTTCATTTCCCAGAGTTAGGAGTCTTTATGTTCTGTGTCCCTTTCTGATATCTCCCACACATTTCTTCTCCCTTCCCTTATATTCCCCTTCACTATTATTCATATTCCCCAAATGAATGAGAACATACACTGTTTGTCCTTCTCTGATTGACTTACTTCACTCAGCATAATACCCTCCAGTTCCATCCACGTTGAAGCAAATGGTGGGTATTTGTCGTTTCTAATGGCTGAGTAATATTCCATTGTATACATAAACCACATCTTCTTTATCCATTCGTCTTTCGATGGGCACCGAGGCTCCTTCCACAGTTTGGCTATTGTGGACATGGCTGCTAGAAACATCGGGGTGCAGGTGTCCCGGCGTTTCATTGCATCTGAATCTCTGGGGTAAATCCCTAACAGTGCAATTGCTGGGTCGTAGGGCAGGTCTATTTTTAATTCTTTGAGGAACCTCCACACAGTTTTCCAGAGTGGCTGCACCAGTTCACATTCCCACCAACAGTGTAAGAGGGTTCCCTTTTCTCCGCATCCTCTCCAACATTTGTTATTTCCTGCCTTGTTAATTTTCCCCATTCTCACTGGTGTGAGGTGGTATCTCATTGTGGTTTTGATTTGTATTTCCCTGAGCCATCTGTATTCTTTGGAAAAATGTCTATTCAGGTCCTTTGCCCATTTTTAAATCAAATTGATGTGGGGTTTTTTTGGTGTTGTCTAAGTTCCAATATCTTTCTTGGATATTAGCCCCTTCTCAGATATATCATTTGCAGATATCTTCTTCCATTCACTAGGTTGCCTTTTTGTTTTGTTGATGGACTTTGTTTTTGTTTTTTTTGCTGTGCAAAAAAGCCTTTTATTTTGATATAGTCTCAATAGTTTATTTTTGCTTTTCTTTCCCTTGCCTGAGGAGAAATATCCATAAATATGTTGTAAGGCTGATATCCAAGAGATAACTATGTTTCCTTTTTTGGTTTCAGGTTGAGCATTTAGGTCTTTCATCCATTTTGAGCTTACTTTTGTGTATGGTGATAAAACAGTGGTCCAGCTTCATTCTTTTGCATGTCGCTGTCCAGTTTTCCCAGCACCACTTATTGAAAAGACGGTCTTTTACTCATTGTATATTCTTGATTCTTCTTTTGTAGATTAATTGATCAAATAAGTGTGGGTGTGTTTCTTTCTGGGCTCTCTATCCTGTCCCATTGGTTTGTTTTTATGTCAGTACGACATCATTTTGATCACTATAGCTTTGTAGTATATCTTGAAGTATGAGGTTGTGATTTGTTCTTATTTTTGAAGATTCCTTTGGCTATTTCAGGTCTTATGGGGTTCCATACAAATTTTAGGATTATTTGTGCTAGTTCCGTGAAAAGTGCTATTGGTATTTTGATAGGGATTGCACTGAATCTGTGGATTTGCTTTGGAAAGTATGAACATTTTAACAATACTGATTTTTCCAATCTGTGCATGTCGTATATATTTCCATTTGAGTCATCTTCAGTTTATTTCGTCAATGTCTTACAGTTTTCAGAATTTAGGTCTTTCACCTCCTTGGTTAAGTTTATTCCTAGATATTTCATTCGTTAAAAAATTTCTCTTCCTGATACTTCGTTGTAAGTGTATAGAAGTACAACAGGTTTTTGCATATTAACTTTATAACCTGCAGCTTTGTTGGAGTCATTTATTCTTTTTTTTAAAAAAAATATTTTATTTATTTATTTGAGAGAGAAAGTGCACAAGCAGGGAAGAGGGGCAGAGGGAGAAGGAGATGCAAACTACCCCCTGAGCAGAGGAGGCTGATGGTGGGGCTTGATCGCAGGACCCTGGGATCATGACCTGAGCCAAATGCACATGCTTAACCTACCAAGCCACCCAGGTGCCCCTCATTGATTAGTTCTAAGCAGCTTATGGTTTCTATCATTTCTCTTATTAATATGATGTATCACATTGGTTGATTTGTGAATATTGAACCACTCTTGTATCTGTGAAATAAACCTCGATTGTGGTGAATGATCTTTTAATGTATTGTTGAATTTGGTTTGTTAATATCTTGTTGATGATTTTTTGTATCTGTGTTCATTAGCAATATTGGCCTGTAGTTTTCTCTATTTTTTTTTTGTAGGATCTTTGGTTTTGGTAATGGTAATACTGGCCTTGAAGAATGAATTTAGAAGTTTTCCTTCCTCTTCTGTTTTTTTTTTTTTTTTCCAATAGTTTGAGAAGAATAGATTTTAACTCTCTTTAAAATATTTGGTACAATCATCTGTAAAGCCATGGACTTGGATTGGAAAGGAGTTGTTGTTGTTGTTGTTGTGTTGTTTTTACCACTGATTTGGTTTTATACCAGGTAATTGGTTTGTTCAAATTTTCTATTTTTCCTTATTCAGTTTTGGAAGATTGTATGTGTCTAGGAATTTATCCATTTCTCCTAGGTTGTCCAAATTTGTTGGCATGTAAGTTTTCATTGTAGTCTCTTATACTTTTTTATATTTTTGTGATGTCAGTTGCTAGTTCTTCTCCTTCATTTCTGATTTTATTTGAGTCTTCTCTCCTTGATGAGTCTGGCCAAAGGTTTATCAATTTGTTTATCTTTTCAAAGAATCAGCTCTCAGTTTCATTGATCTTTTTTCTTGTTTTTTAATCTATTTATTTCCACTCTAATCTTTTTTTTTTTTTTCACTCTAATCTTTATTCTTGGCTTCCTTTTACTAACTTTGGGCTTTGTTGTTCTTTTTCTAATTCCTTTGGGTGTGAGGTTAGATTGTTTGAGATTTGTCTTGATTTTTGAAGTAGGCCTATTTCACTGTAAGCTTCTTAGAACTGCTTTCGCTGTGTCCCAAAGATTTTGGACCATTTCATTTCATTTGCCTCCATGTATTTTTGTATTTCCTCTTTTATTTATTCATTCACTCATTGACTGTACAGTGGCATGTTATTTAGCCTCCATATGTTTGTATTTTTTTCCAGTTCTTTTCACATAATTGATTTCTAGTTTCATACCATTGTGGTTGGAGAAGAAGTTTGATAAGATTTCAGTCTTCTTAAATTTATTAAGACTTGTTTTATGGCCTAATATATGCTCCATCCTGGAGAAAGCTTCATACACACTTGGAAAGAATGTGTGTTCTGCCATCTTTGTATGGAATGCTCTCCGTGTAGCTGTTGGATCAGTTAGATGGAGTGTGTTGTCCCAAGCCATTGATTTTTTTTTGTCTGAATAATTTATCCATTGATGTAAGCATGATATTAAAGTCCCCTACTCTTCAGCTTCTTCCTTATGCTTGTTAATTTTTGCTTCATGTGTCCAGGTGCTCCAGTGTTGTTGGGTGCATCAGTATTTATAATTGTTATAGCCTCTTTTTAGATTGATCCCTTTGTCATTATGTAATGCCCTGCCTTGCCTCTGGCTATAGTCTTTGTTTTAAAGTCAGACAGTCAGGGGTGCCTGGGTACTCAATTGGTTAAGTATCTGCCTTCGGCTCGGGTCATAATCCCAGGGTCCTGGGATCGAGCCCAGCATCAGACTCCCTGCTTGGCAATGAGTCGGCTTCTCCCTCTCCCTCTGTGATCTCTCTGGCTCTCTCTCTCTCTCTCAAATAAATAAAATCTTTAAAAATAAAATAAAGTCAGATAATCAATGTAATTATTTAAAAAAATTAAGTAAATACGTCTTCCAAAGTTTTAATTCAAGAAGGGATTTATATTCCTAATACCTTGAAATAGCGTCATAAGGTCAGGATCTGTATTCTGGAGAAACCATTTACTAGTCACTATGTGACATTAGGAAAGTTACTTAATCTGTGTCTTGAGTTTCTTATCTATGAAACGGGACTAATCCTACCTTACTTTCCAGGGCAAATATGAGTACCGAATTATTGCATATGAAAACTTTGCCGAGCGTTTGGTATATAATAGATGCTCCATAAATGATAGTTGCTATAATTTTCATTAACGTATAACAAAAGATACGGGGTTAAATTTTAGTCTCCTACCTTGTCTTCAGTGATTAAGTTACTTATAAAACAAGTTTTTTCCACAGTAACTTCCATTTTATTTTATTTTTTCTGTTTTGAAGGGCTATTGAGTGGCCAGACTTCCCCAACAAATACCAAATTGGAGAAATTGGATTCTCAGCAGGTGTTACAGCTCTGCCTGCGATATCAGGATCACCTTCATCAGTGTGCAGAGGCCGTTGCCTTTGATCAGAATGCTTTGGTTAAACGAATCAAAGAGGTAATGTAGTGTGGGAAAATAACATCACCAGCTCATTTTTGTGATTTCCTCTGACTCCCAAGTCCTTTTCTACTGGGTAGTAGAGCCAGTGATCCAAGCTTTATAGGAAGTAGTCATTTTCTGGTTTAGTCTTGACATCTGTCCCCATTGCTTTGATAGAGTGTCTTTCCTAGCAGTAAAATCTAAGGATGAAAAGGAGTAGTCCAGCTCCATGGAATTTGAATCCTGGTTCACCACATATTTGCTTGGATAAGTTACTTCTCCTGGTCTCAGTTTGCTCATCTGAAAAACAGTAGTAACCTATCCCAAAGGTTGATTGAACATTAAGTTACTAATACGTTTTAGTTAGTTTGTAAAGTCCTGCCATACTAATCTGCTCTAGCTAACATTGTATCTTTGAATGGACTTTAGCTGTTTCCTATGTGTAATATATATTTTGTTTCCCAATAGAATATCAGTTGTTTGAGAGCGGGAACCTTGCTATCTTTTTCAATTATTTTTTCACAGTATGAGGACTTGAAAAACTAAGTGATTTTTACTGGTTGAATGGAAACAATTATACCTATTTAGCTCACAAGGTTTTTCTGAGGGAAGGTGCAAGATAATTCCTGTGAAAGTACTTAGAAAATTAAAGTGCATGGTACAAATGTTTAGTAATTATTAATAAAAAAAAAGGTACTTCTGTCAAACACTGAAATATATCATTGACTGGGCTGCTGCATGGCACAGCTCTGTGAGCACTAGGGTATAGTACATACGTTTTCCAAAGTTTTCAATAAAGAAGGGAATGAGATTCCTGATGCTTTGAAGTAGTATCATATAAAGAAAAGGTCAGGAGTTCTGTCTTGGAGAAATCACTTATGTTAATGGCACCTCCTAGAGTTGTTTAACAAAATAGTCCTGGTCATTGAGTCAGCGTGAGAAGGTGAATATGAGGAAATACACAAGTAAAGGGTTGAGCATCACTGCAAATTCATTAACAGTTAATAGCAGATGTAGTAAATCCTTGAGATTATAAAGTTGCTGCTAGTTATATTGATACATTTAAGTTTGCCAACACCTTAAATATTTTACTACTTACCTTTCATGAAATGTATACATATATGCATCTCTCATGGCTTAAATACTTTTATTTGGAAGAGCATTCCAAATTATTATTTCATATTGGTTGGCATTGTTGTGGCCTTTCAAACATTACAAACTTACTTTACTATGTTATGTTCTACAGAGATTTAAATCCCAAATGTGACTCAGTATCAAAACCTCTTGAGTTTTTTATTTGTTTTAATGCTGAGTTTTCCTCTCCCACTAGGTCTAGGATGTGGTCTGTCAATCATTATTTTAATAAGCTTACCAAATGATACTGAATCCATTCTCCATTACCTGGGATTTGGGAACCACTGGTCTAGAGCACTGTTTTCCACAATAAATTCTACAAAACTAGTCCCATGTGAAGAAGGTCAATCTTTTTGCATATTCCATCACCACCCTTGGAAAGTCACAAAGCATATTATCTTTTTTTTTTTTAAGATTTTATTTATTTATTCATGAGAGACACAGAGAGAGAGAGGCAGAAGCAGGCTCCATTCCGGAAGCCCGATGTGGGACTCAATCCCAGGGCTCTGGGATCACGCCCTGAGTCAAAGGCAGATGCTCAACCGCTGAGCCACCCGGGCATCCCATGATGCTTATTATCTTAAAAGTTCTTAGATTGGGGCGCCTGGGTGGCTCAGTGGTTGAGTACTTGCCTTTGGCTCAGGGCATGATCCCAGGGCCCTGAGACTGAGCCCCATATCAGGCTCCCTGCTCAGCGGGGAGTCTGCTTCTCCCTCTGCCTCTCTCTGTTTCTCTCATGAATAAATAAATAAAATATTTTAAAAATAAAGTAATTAAATTTAAAGTTCTTAGGAATCTTACAATAAAGAAAACTGGTACCAAACTTATTTTACCTAAGAACCTTTATTGTAGGTAATATCTTATAGAAGTAGTATTTTTATTTTTTTTATTATTTTTTAAAGATTTTATTTATTTATGATTGACATAGAGAAAAAGAGAGGCAGAGACACAGGCAAAGGAGAGGCAGGCTCCATGCCGGGAGCCCGACATGGGACTCGATCCTGGGGCTCCAGGATCGCACCCTGTGCCAAAGGCAGGCGCTAAACCGCTGAGCCACCCAGGGATCCCCGAAGTAGTGTTTTTTAGAACATTATTTGGGAATTGCTCTTGCAGACACAAGACCTTATCATTTTTTATTATTGTGCTAGAAATTAACTGTGATGTTAACTCTTAGAAGATTTTAGAACAATAAATCTATTTCATAATGCTTCTCATTTTCTTTTTGAAAGATCCCTTAGTCCATTTCTATTGTTTTGTAGTTTAGGAAAGTATAATACAGAAAGATTAAATGACTAGCTCAGCGTCAAAGAGCAGGTATTTAGTAGCTTGTTATACCAGATAGAGCTCTTATTATACCTCATTTCCAAGATTCTCGAGCAGGATTTCTTAGCCCTAAATGTGTGTTAGAATTACCTGGGAATTTTTACCTCCAGTATATATGACAAAAATTTTTACATGCACACACACACAATGAAGTAGACAAATATTGTGAACCTTCATGTACTCATTGCCCAGCTACTCACTACAGGCATTGATTTGTATAAGGTCTTGTTTCATTTATATCCACACTCACTCCCTGCCACCTCTCCAACTGATCTATTTTGCAATAAATCCAGGCATATAATTTCATTCAGAAATATTTAAGTATATATCTTTTTTTTTTGAGAGAGAGAGAGAGCTCACAAGCCCCATGGGGGTGCAGGGAGAGAGAGAGAGAATCTTTTTTTTGGGGGGGGAATCTTAAGCAGGCTCCATGGGGAGCTCAATCTCATGACCCTGACATCATGACGAGAGCCAAAATTAAGAGTCTGATACTGAAGCTTAACCAGCTGAGCCCCCCAGGTGCCCACTAAGTATGTATCTTTAAAGATAAAGGACTCTCTTTAAAAACTTTTTAAAATGTGAATTAGAGAAAAGTCACAAAAATAATCTAAAGAGTTCTGTGTACCCCTCACACATCTTCCTCTAAAGTGAGCATTTTACAGAACCTTAGTACGATGATCAAAATTAGGAAATTAACACAGTACCACACTATTAACTAAGCGGAGACCTTATTTGAATTTCATCAGTTTTTCCACCAAGAAAGGCTTTCCCCAAATACAGCTGTAATGCTGCTGTCATACCTGAAATAACAATACCTTAATTTATCAGCATAGCGAAGTGCTTTTAAAAAGTAACTGATGTATGGGTCTCACTCTAAACCAGTTAGATAAAAATCTTTGAAGAGTGGTGAATGGAAAGGGAGGAAGCTAGGCTTTGGTATTTATGAAAGTGCTCTAGATGACATGTAACCAGGATTGAGAGCCATTTAACAGATTTAAATTTAACAGAGTTAAAATTGTTTGAGGAACTTTGGGATTCACTTTGAGGGATCAGTAGTTACCCGGGATTATTACAGATCAGAGAACAGTACTCATAGTACGTGGTACCTTGGTAGTTCTCCTAAGGTGAAGGAGATGAGCACTGTTTTAAGGTTTTCATTGGTGACTTGGCATCTCTGTTGGTAAATGCTAGCAAATGCTTCAAACATACACATCCATCTGTGCTCATTTCCAACCTCAGGGTTGAAATTAGTCACTTCCAAATGAATAAAGCAGAGGATGTAGTTTTGATATAACACCAACTCTCTAATATTATTCCAGATGTTTCCTGGAAATTTGGTTGCAAGTGTGAGGAAGTAACATAATGCTGTATGTGTTGAAAAGTAAGGAACTTAATAACCTTGGAGAATATGTATTAGTGGAAGTGTAGAACCTGGATCAACCAGAGACTCATAAAGTTACAGGCCTGCAGTCACTTTAAGTTTGGATCAAAGGGAAACATGGCTAGAACTGTTCTGATTCAGATAAAAGAAAATCAAGGAGCTAGCTAAGCTTTCCTGTTCCCAAATTTGGATGATGCTCTTGAATGAAAAGTCTGTCTTACAAATTGGTGTGAGAGAGGAGTAGAAGATAGAGGTAGCCAGCCTTCCTTCCCAGAGAGCCTTGTAATGCACACTGACCACTAGTTTCTTTATTGGTTCCTGGGTGACCCCTCAGCCAACAAGCATTGCTGAGCCACTGTTGCAGACCTACTCAGTGTGAGGTTTCTTAGAGGTTACAGAAAAAGGTGACAAAGTGCCTGCTTGCTGAGAGCTTAGTCTAAGTACAGGAACAAAGATATGCAGGACAGTAGTAGGAAAGATAGGGCACTATTGATGGAGACTGCTAAATCATGGTCCCTAACTGAGGTGCTATATGAGTTAAAGATCAGGAGCAGGTGAGGTTCAAGCTAACTTATAAAGGGAAATCAAAGTTTGGGAAATGAACGGAAAATAGGAGGAGGGAGCATTACTTGCTACAGGAACAGCTTGGCAGTCTTAGAAGAAAATTAACTTTGAGGCTTCAGGGGACAGTGAAGAACCTAAACTTGTTCAAAAAACTCTAACTCTGCATTAAGAGCCATGGAACATTGGGGAGTTCAGAGTACCATAGAGACCTTGTCCAGCACCCTCATTATTTAGATGCAGAAATTGAAGCCTAGTAGAGTGGGTGAGCAAGTTATCCAGGGTCACAGAGTGAGGTAGTGGCCAAAATTATGGAATGAAAAGTGGTTGAAGATCGTAGGAAGGTTTGGTGTTTTATTTTGCAGATAGTATACTTGAACATGTTCACAGGTTGATGGAGAGGAGACAAAAGAGATCAAAGATGAAGGATAGAAGAGGTCTTAGAGCGGGGTTCCTGAGGCAGCAAGAGAGGGTGGGATTTAGAGCCCTGGAGCATTTGTTTTGAGAGAATGGGGAGCATTTGGACAATTTTATTAAAAGAGGATAATTGGCATGGATCAGCCACACCCAAGGAGCCCATGTATTCCCCCTGAAGAAGAGGGGAGGTCATTGGTTGAGT